ACACTGGTGACCCCATCTGATCAACTCCACCTGATAATCTTTTTTGTAGCATTTGTGTGTCTGTCTGTAAATAGTATAGCTTGAAAGGTTTAGAATGAATTCTGATTACACTTAGGTAGGTGTAGGTGTGTCGAATGGGGTCAATAAAATTTGGCTTACGTCCATTGTGGTCCTTAAGGTCAACTTAATCATTTATTTATAATTTTAAAAAAAGAAAAAAAAAGGACAAAAAGCCTTAAACTACAAAAAAAGAAGCACTCAGAGAGCTCGAATCTTTTAAGGAAATTAATATTTTCTAAATATTCATTTTGAGATTGAAGAGATTGAGATTTTAAGTCTTTATATGGTACTATCTATATGTTGACAAAACACCACACTTGTATAGGTCACTTTCATAGTTATAAGGCTTTTTGTGAATTTCTGATAAATAAATCATTAAGTTGACCTTGAATTTCATTTAGCTCTGTCTTGGTTTTGCTGCCTCCACGTGCAAACAATGAGCAAAAGGCATATTCAAAATCCGTTTTTATATTCTGGTGGTTCCGACACTGTGTGGCCTTCCTCCGCGCCCTGCTTTAGTCAGTCTCATTCAGATCGAGACGGATGTACTGACTTAGTTACAACTGAATTACAGTGGGGAAAACTACCTGGAAAACTACCTGAAAAGCTTTATTTTTGTTTTTTAAAACTTGCTCTGATCTCCACTGTCACAGATCATTTTTAGAAGAGGATGTCTGAGTGGCATCTTTCTCTTTTATGTGACTGGATCTAGCCCTTCAGCCTTGAAGAGTCACCCCGAGGAGACCCAACACTCTATACATGTTTTTATGGTTTAGTAAATTTACCACAAGGATCAAATGTAATTAATATGCAAAAGCTGCAATTTTTCCTTCCTGACAGATAAATCAGAGACATAAAGGTTGACAACAGCAGACTGACTGCTGAGGCCAAATGATCAGATGTGCAACAACCAGTAAGGATACCTCAGATAATGGCCAGCTGCACTCAGTGAAGGAGACAGTGAGACAGCCAACATTCATTATTTAGAGGCTCAAAGCTGCTCAGAAATCCTTCCTGCTTGTCAGACCGATTCAAGAGTCTCCACACCAGGATGGAAAACAATCAAAAATGTTCCTCAAAACATCAGGTTTTCACACAAGTTTAGAGACATTTAAAGAGTTCGTAATGAACAGCACTTACTAATGATAGAAGAAGTTTGTGGTAAGATAATAAATAAAATACTTTTGATCAAAGGTAAATACTGAATAAAATTTTTCTAAATTTGAAACTTTATATTTTAGCTAGCATAATATTAAACTGAACATCTGTTATTTATAATTACTTCTGGGGGGGAAAATTAAATAAGTAATAAACCAATTTTTCAGGCAGAAAAGCAGTTTGATGCAGAATCAAATGTTTAAGTTCATTACTAAATAATAAATATGATGCTAATTTATCTATTCAAATCTTTAGCTGCCTCCCAAAATGTGAACTTTTCAAGTAAAGCACTGAAAAAACACCACCGGAGTGAAACGTTTTCAGTTTCTTATTAGGCCGGAGGTTTCCAAATGTTGTGCAGTAGTTTGAACTACAGTTTTTCACAGGACTGGATAGTCAGATGAAGGCACATTTCTAGAGCTAACTGTAAATCTACTAAATAAACACCTGATTCAGGAGCTTGTTGAACCACTTTTAGCAGCAATACAT